ACAGTGACCTAGAGACCCATCACTGCCTGATGCCCTCAACAAGTTCTATGCACGCTTTGAAGACCTGAACAGACCACCCAGCACCAGACTCACCTCATCACCAGATGAAGAGCTTTTCAGCGTGACCTCAGCAGAAGTAAGGAGTACTTTCAGGAGGATTAACCCTCACAAAGCAACCGGCACAGACAACATCCCCGGGAAGGGGTTGAAATCAATCAATCAATCAACCTTTATTTATACAGGTAAATCCCATTGAGCCTCGAGGACTCATTTACAAGAGACCTGATTTCAACAAAGAAAGATGACAACAATGGACAACAGCAACAACAATAAACAGTTATAAAAAAGCATACTACATACTTTTTTTTTTTTTTTTAAACAAATAGGATGGCTAAAAGGAAAAGGTAACAAAACAAAAAACAGCTAGATTCCAAGACAAATGTAGAAAACTAAAAACAGGAACATGTCAGCATTGGACCCTGCCAGGTGTCCAACAGATTCTTAAAGACACTTAGAGAGGTCAAGGTCGAGAGCTTCAAATCTTTTTGTAAGATGTTCCAGGAAACAGGAGCGGAATAGGAGAAGGCCCTTTTGCCTAGTTCAGTCCTCATTGAGGGAACACTGCAGGTAATAATGTCCTGAGAGCGCACTCCGTAGCTGCACTCACGCAGAGACATGTAGGAGGAGATGTATGAAGGCAACAGACCAAGAAGTGATTTAAAGATGAAAATATACCAGTGAGAGAGTCTGCGTGAAGTTAATGATGTCCAGTTAACCAGTGAATACAGTGTGCAGTGGTGGGTACGATAATCACAGCCAGTTATGAATCTTAGTGCACCATGATAGACAGCATCCAACATCTGCAGGGTTCTTGTAGGAGCGTTCATGTAAATAATATCACCATAATCAATTGAGGGAAGGAAAGTCACAGATACAAGGCGTTTTCTAGCATTCAGGGTTAGACAGGATCTGTTTCTGAAAAAGAAACCCAGTTTAACTTTCAGTTTCTTTACCAAGTTTTCCACATGGAGCTTAAAAGAGAGATGTGAGTCGACCAAGATACCCAAATATTTATAGGAATCAACAAACTCAATGGGGACACCATTTGAGGATAAAATCGGAGGAAGAACTGCTGGGACCAACTTCCTATTTGAAAAAAGCATCCCTTTGGTTTTGTCGGCATTTAGGACAAGTTTGAGGCAAAACAAATCAGTCTGGATGATGTTGAATGCAGATTTCAAAAGCTGGAAAGCCTTAGCAACAGTTTTAGCTCGACAATAAACAACTGTGTCGTCAGCATAGAAATGTATGGGTGCAATAGGGTTGTTTTTACTTACATTATGTATGTAGATTGTAAAGAGGGTGGGTCCTAAGACTGAGCCTTATGGTACACCATTGTTGACTGTTAAATAACTGGAGTAAGTACCACCTGCATCATGAAGGACCCCACTCACCCAGCACACACACTTTTTGCCCCACTCCCCTCAGGAAGGAGGTTAAGGAGCATTAAGTGTAGAACCACTAGACTGAGGAACAGCTTCTACCCTGAGGCTGTTAGACTCATGAATCTCTAACTAGAATAATCACTGTGAAAAACCATATCATGTTGCTGCTGATCTGTTTCATGTTGCTGCTGATCTGTTTCAATGTTGATGTGTTCATGCGTGCACATCTGCTCACAGACTCATGTTCAAGTTTGTGCTGATGTTCAATGTTTTTATGTTATGAGTGCTTAGTGTATATTTAGTTGATGTTTTTCTTAGTTCATATCTTAGATGTTATTACTGTTTTTCTTATACATTTTATTGTTGGATGTAACTGGGACCTTGTGTACATAATTTCTCTCCACCACATGTACCACATGAGGTGCAAATGACAATAAAGAAACTCTGACTCTGACTGACTCTGATTATGTTGAACACATTGCCTGAAAGATAGTTAGAGAACCAACCAATGGTGTGATCTGAGAAACCGACTTCTGAGAGTTTATGACACAAGATGTTATGATCCACAGTGTCAAAAGCTTTAGACAGGTCTAAGAAAAGTGCAGCACAATAATCCTTAGCATCCAGTGCTTCAACAACATCATTAAGAACCTTCAGTGAAGCAGTGGTTGTGCTGTGTTGTTTCCTGAAACCAGATTGATGTGGAGGTAAGATGTTAAATGAGTCCAGGTAATTTTTGATTTGAGAGTTTATCAGTTTTTCTAGAACCTTGGCTAAAATGCAGAGTTTAGAGATTGGTCGATAGTTGTTCAGTGAGGTGGGGTCTCCTCCCTTCAGCAAAGGAAGAACAAAGGCTGTTTTCCAAGTGTCTGGGATGGAGTTTTGTCTCGTCTTGAAAGACTGTGCCGATAAACTCTGCGAGGTGCTGGCAGACATCTTTAACTCCTTGCGCAACCTGGCAACAGTTCCCACCTGCCAGAAGACTGCCACCATCATCCCAGTCCCAAAGAACTCTACAGTGACTGGTCTGAATGATTATCAGCCAGTGGCTCTCACCCCGATAGTCGCCAAATGCTTAAAAAAACTGGTCATGACACACATCAAAACAACCATCAACATCAAAAAGGGCCCTCATCAGTACGCATACCGTGAAAACCGATCAACAGAGGACGCCATCTTCTCTGTGGTCCATACTGCTCTCACCCATCTGGAGCAGAAGGACTCCTACATCTGTATGCTCTTTGTGGACTTCACGTCTGCCTTCAACACCATGATCCTCCAAACGCTGATGGACAAACTACTCACACTAGGACTAAGCCCCTCCATTTGCAACTGGGTCCTAGACTTCTTAACAAACATACCGCAGCCAGTGAGGATCCAAAACTTCTCTTCCTCCACCATAACCCTCAGCACTGGCTCCCCTCAGGGGTGTGTGCTGAGCCCCCTCCTATTCACTCTGCTCACATATGACTGTGCACCTACTCATACAGGCTGTCATACTGTAAAGTTTGCAGATGACACAGCGGTGGTGGGATGCATCACAAACAATGATGAGTCCAGCTACAGGCATGAGGTGGAACACCTGCAGAGCTGGTGCAAGGAGAATAACCTTCACATCAACATGAAAAAGACAAAGGAGATGATTGTGGACTTTAGAAGGAACAAACACACCTACCCACCCTGAATATAAGAGGATCTGCAGTGGAAGTGGTCTCCAGCTACAAGTACTTGGGTGTACACCTGAATGACAACCTCAGCTGGGGCAACAACACCACTAGCCTGATCAAGAAAGCTTATCACAGACTCTACTTTCTCAGACGGCTGAGACGAGCTGGTCTGGGAAGCTCAGTCCTCATCTCCTTCTACAGGTGTGCAGTTGTTTTATGAAATTTCTTATACAAGGTTTGTGAACGGTCGGCCCCAATAATTCACACGAGAGGAAATAAGACACAGAGACTGTTTCTGCTAGAAATAATAGTGTCATTTATTAATCTGCCACAGAAAAACAGCCATGCAAACATGTACACTTGTACACTCTCTACACACAAATTGATATGAGAGTCCCTCACCGTGACACGTGGTCGGGAAGCCTTCGACCCGAGTGACAGGAAATCACACCAACAGAGCTGGGCACTTCGCGCGTGGTCCGCAGCAGGCTTCTAACTCTCTGTGTTTGTTACATTTCTTATATACCCCTCCCTGACCGGATCGCGTGAGAGCAGTGAAAAACAAGTTTGATGGTTGTCAGGAGGACAGACAGAAAGTCGGTATCTCATAAAAACATGTTGTGCAAAATCAAGGCAATAACCTGACATTGCCAGTAACGGAGCGCCATGACCACAGGGCTGGCCAAAACTCTACTGCCAAAAGCACTCCTAATGCTTATTAAAGCATTCCTAAAGAGAATACACTGTCCCCCCTCCGTCCCTCTGCAAACCATCAAAAGAGTGTCTAAATATTATAAGTAACACACACACAAAATATATGTTTGAATAGGCATAAAGGCAACCCAACACCTTGTAAAATATATTTTTATATCAGCAGTGGAGAGCATCCTGTGCTCCAGCATCAACATGTGGCATGGAGGCTGCACAACTGCAGAAAGAAAAGCGTCGCAGAGAGTGGTGAAGGCTGCACAGAAGACCGTTGGAGTCAGCCTCCCCACCGTCACAGACATTTATACCTTTAGATGCAGAAAGAGAGCCACCTGCATTATGAAGGACCCCACTCAACCAGCACACATACTTTTTGTCCCGCTCCCCTCAGGAAGGAGGTCGAGGAGCATTAAGTGTAGAACCACTAGACTGAGGAACAGCTTCTACCCTGAAGCTGTTAGGCTCATGAATCTCTAACCAGGATAATCACTGTGAAAAAAATTGCATCATGTTGCTGCTGATCTGTTTCATGTTGTTGCTGATCTGTTTTGATGTTGGTGTGTTCATTCGTACTCATCTGCTCACACAGACTCATGTTCATGCTGCTGTTCGGCGAATTGTTTTGACTGTTTTTATGCTATTAGTGCTTAGTGTATATTTAGTTAATCTTTTTCTTAGTTCATATCTTAGATCTTATTACTGTTTTTCTTTTACATTTTATTGTGGGATGTAACTGGGACCCTGTGAACATAATCTCGTTCCACCACATGTACCACATGTGGTGTGTATGACAAATAAATCTCTCTGACTCTGAATGTAGTCAAAGTTACAGTGAGGTTATGTGAGCATTTTAAAATATTCTTACAAATAAAAAAGTAGAAGGGTTTTTAGGTTTTGTCAGAAACAATCATGTTTATTGACTTCACCAAAATCAATTAAAAGATAAAAACATGGACTAAAACAAACATGTGGCTGCTTTTTCTCCATAAGGTCTTCCAAGGGTCAAAAGCTCATAGCTTCAAATCTCATCTACTGTGCATGTATATAAATAAGAGTCTGCAGGCTGAGATCCTGTTCTGCTCTTTTCCCTTCTTTCAGCTAATCAGATATGATGACAAACTAATTATAGTTACACTTTTGGCTGATTTATGTAAAACTGTGCAATAAGCTCAGCTCTTACCTGAGTGTCCGATGGCGTCACCTGGTTCATCTGATATCTGACCTTTTCCCTCATTGTACAACAGCAGCTCTGTTCCCGGCTGGATGTTCCGACACGCACGCAGACACACATGCACGCACTCAGCCTCACACACCTCTCCACAAGCACACAGTATGGTCACGTTGCGCTGGGCCAGGGACCGTGCCTGATGGGCAAATCTAAGAAGAAAAAAAGACAAAGAACATATAGAGTCTGAGACTATGTGATCAGCAAGAAGCTCTGATTGCATTAAAGCATCTGTGGAACGAGCCACAGTGGGAGGCAGCTGGGAATGTGATCATAACAGTCCACATCATGTGGCTGGAAGACAATCAGAAAAAACAAATATCTATCTGGTGAGTTTGTAGATGACGTGTCGACCCATCACAGGAAACTAACATAATGGTGTCACTTGTTTTCCAGCTTTGCTCTGCGGGAGAGAAAACAGTGGCAGTTTTTAATCAGGACACCTCACACTACATAGGATGAGGAGAGGGACGATGGTGTCACAGATGCAGCCTTCAACAGAACAAAAGAGCAGATCAAACATACAAACTGCAAGTCAACAAAAGATGTCACACTCAATAATTCACAGAAACAAAAGTCTGAGATCAACAGAACGTCTGAAACGCAGAAACATCACCTAAACATCTGTTCACCTTGTGAACTGTGATGGTATCAATGTGGTGGGGCTCATCTGTAAAGAGGGATGATACAGCTTACAGAGGCTGACAGCTGGTGCACACACAACAACTTGCTCCAAGTTGTTGTGTGTGCACTTCTTGCTCTCTTGCAGCTTGTTGTGGATTTAAGGAAAACGGACATCCAACCACTATAATCTATTCAAGCATGGAGAGGGTTTCAAACTTCAGTTTCCTGGCAGTCTACAGGTCCTTCTAAAAAAATTAGCATATTGTGATAAAGGTCATTATTTTCCATAATGTAATGATAAAAATGAAACTTTCATATATTTCAGATTCATTGCACACCAACTGAAATATTTCAGGTCTTTAATTGTTTTAATACTGATGATTATGGCATACAGCTCATGAAAACCCAAAATGCCTGTCCCAAAAAATTAGCATATTTCATCCCACCAATGAAAGACAAGTGTTTTTAATACAAAAAACGCCAACCTTCAAATAATCATGTTCAGTTATGCACTCAATACTTGGTCGGGAATCCTTTTGCATGAATGACTGCTTCAATGCGGCGTGGCATGGAGGCAATCAGCCTGTGGCACTGCTGAGGTGTTATGGAGGCCCAGGATGCTTCGATAGCGGCCTTAAGCTCATCCAGAGTGTTGGATCTTGCGTCTCTCAACTTTCTCTTCACAATATCCCACAGGTTCTCTATGGGGTTCAGGTCAGGAGAGTTGGCAGGCCAATTGAGCACAGTAATATTATGGTCAGTAAACCATTTACCAGTGGTTTTGGCACTGTGAGCAGGTGCCAGGTCGTGCTGAAAAATGAAATCTTCATCTCCATAAAGCTTTTCAGCAGATGGAAGCATGAAGTGCTCCAAAATCTCCTGATAGCTAGCTGCATTGACCCTGCCCTTGATATAACACAGTGGACCAACACCAGCAGATGACATGACACCCCAGTGACTGTGAAAACTTGACACTGGACCTCAAGCAATGTGAATTATGTGTCTCCTCTCTTCCTCCAGACTCTGGGACATTGATTTCCAAAGGAAATGCAAAATTTACTGTAATCAGAGAACATAACTTTGGACCACTCAGCAGCAGTCCCAGGCGAGATGCTTCTGACGTAATCTCTTGTTCAAGAGTGGCTTGACCTGGGGAATGCGGCACCTGTAGCCCATTTCCTGCACACGCCTGTGCACGGTGGCTCTGGATGTTTCTACTCCAGACTTAGTCCACTGCTTCCGCAGGTCCCCCAAGGACTGGAATCGGCCCTTCTCCACAATCCTCCTCAGGGTCCGGTCACCTCTTCTCGTTGTGCAGCGTATTCTGCCACACTTTTCCCTTCCCACAGACTTCCCACTGAGGTGCCTTGATACAGCACTCTGGGAACAGCCTATTCGTTCAGCAATTTCTTTCTGTGTCTTACCCTCTTGCTTGAGGGTGTCAATGATGGCCTTCTGGACAGCAGTCAGGTCGGCAGTCTTACCCATGATTGCGGTTTTGAGTAATGAACAAGGCTGGGAGTTTTTAAAAGCCTCAGGAATCTTTTGCAGGTGTTTAGAGTTACGTCATTAATTCAGATGGTTAGGTTAATAGCTTGTTTAGAGAACCTTTTCATGATGTGCTAATTTTTTGGGACAGGCATTTTGGGTTTTCATGAGCTGTATGCCATAATCATCAGTATTAAAACAATTAACGACCTGAAATATTTCAGTTGGTGTGCAATGAATCTGAAATATATGAAAGTTTCATTTTTATCATTACATTATGGAAAATAATGACCTTTATCACAATATGCTAATTTTTTGAGAAGGACCTGTACATCATGGAAGATCTGATCTGGTGTGCAAACACAGCAGAGCTGGTGAAGAAAGGCCCAGCAAAGATTGTATTTCCAGAGTCCTCCGGAAGAAGAACATCTGTCAAAATCTGCTGGTGTCCTTCTATCGCTGCTCTGTGGAGAGCATCCTGTGCTACTGGCTCTGTGTGCGGTTCTACAGCTGCACAGTAGCACAGAAGAAAACCCTTCAGGAGATCATTAACATGGCCCAGAAGATCACTGGATGCCCATTGCCCTGTAGAACTTCGTAGCTCTCAGGAAAGCCACAAACATTTTTTTAAAACTTTGCACCCAGGTCACACCATGATCCAACCAGTGTCATCAGGCAGGAGGTAGAGGAGAATTAAAACCTACAAAGCTCTCAACAACCTAGCTCCATCTTATATAACATATCTTATTGTTCCATATTTTCCAAACAGAGCACTTCACTGTCAGGCTGCAGGTTTAGCTGTAGTTCCTAGAGTTTCCAAAAACAGAATAGGAGGCAGAGCTTTCAGTTATCAGGCTCCTCTCTTGTGGAACCAACTTCCAATTTCTGTCTGTGAGGCTGACACATTATCCAGTTTTAAGACTGGGATTAAGTCTTTCCTTTTTGATAAATCCTATAGTTAGTGTTGGTTTGGGTTTCCTGAGCTGTCCCTTAGTTATGCCGTTATAGGCTTAGACTGCTGGAGGACAAACTGACCACAATTCTTCACTCTGCTGCTGTTTTTACTTTACTCTACCTATTCTGTATTTGTAATTATTTCTATCCTTAACATGTTTTTGTCTTTCTTCCAATAGGGGTACACCTGCACACTTTTATCCCACAGCCATCAGGGCATTAAATGCCACATAACACCTGCAGTGCAAATGTATGTGCAATAGAAATTTATAATAATCATGTGCAATATTTTGTTTTTGTGCAATAGTGTGCTGCTCTGTATGGCTGATCTTTTTTGTGTTTTATATAACTTTTGACAATGTAATGATGATATTTAATTTTGTTGTACTTTTTAAAATGACAATAAAAATATTTTGATTCTGAAAAGACAGTCACACGATGTATTGCCATCATTTTTTCAGATTATTGGATGTATATACAAATACATGCAAAGACATGCCTCAGCTGTTCATTGATCAGATTTGATGTAACAACAGGAACTATTTTTTAATATAACTTGTTTGTGTTTATAGTTAACTCTTTAGACAAATAACACGAATATTTGTATAAAAGGAAGGAATCTTTAATTTCTCGAGTATTACAGTGTGCATTTTAAAGGGCCTATAACAAATATTCACCCCCATGGAGGTCTTTGTTGGAATCATGCGACTTACAACAAAAAAGCTTAATGACAGATTAGAACCAGGTAAAAGATGGATTTAATGTAGGATTAAATGGCTTAAGCTCAGATTAATTATTTACCGCTGAATAATTGTCAGTGATATTTAGAAGCTTTACAAGAATATAAAGCTACAAATAAATAAAACATGTTAACACATGAAGACCTACGTATGTCCAATTAGCTCATTGATTTATTGTGGTGTCTCATTATAAATGATCAAAAAAGAACTAGTGATCCTACTAATCAGAAATCTCTTTAAACATTATGGAAATACTACTATTACCATCTATTAAAAGCTACAATATTTTGGATTGAGCAGAAATATAGTAAAATCTGAACTACCAGTCTGGGGATCTAAGGTCCAGGTGCTCTTCTATAATGTAACTCCCGTTACATTATAGAAGAGCACGTGTTATCAGAAGATTATAGATATATGTTAAACGTAAATCCAACAAGACCACCTCCAAGCTGCCTTAGGTTCTCTTGACCACAGCTGCCGAAACTATTAAAAAGAATAAGGTTTATGGCAGTGTGACCACCTCCTAGAACATGGAGGCAAGAGGAAATGCAACCCCTCATTGATCAGGTAGATAGTGCAGATTGTAGACAAATGGACAGCAAAACCATCCAAACCATTCAAACTAAACTCTTTGAGGCGACGGTATGTCACTTTGAATTCAGCTTCTCTTGAATTTTAAATCACAAATGTCTCAGTGGAAAAAGACCCAGTAGGCCTCACTAAAAACAAAAAAATGCTGACAGGACTTCACCAATGCCCCTTTTCCATTAGTACCGGTACGGGCCGACTTGACCCTACTTGGCCCGGTTCTGAGGCTTTTCCATTAGTACCGGTACTTAGCACCTGTTACTATTTTCAGTACCCTTGGCTCTGTGGTGAGCCTCCCAGCCTCCTCCTCTCCGGAGGAGAGGATCGTGTGACTGCGGGCAGTGTCGTGCGGGACCAGCAGAGCGTTGAAGATTAAAAATAAAATAAACGGTGCCAGCTTCATCATGAAATCCTGTTTTCACTTTAATGACTGTTAACTCAGCTGAAAATCATAAAAAGACACAAAACTATTGGATATCAGGAATATTTCCCTCAAACATGTTTAAAGAAGAGACGACCTTCAGTTCAACTTTATTTTACCTCACGAATGTACAAATCACAAAACAAGAACTTTAAAGCAAAGCTAAAAATAAAATGTATATATGTGAACAAGAAAGGAAACCACACATTTAAAATGAACATTAAAAGTAGACACAATGAGTGCAAATACATCAAATGATGATAAAAACCTATAAAAATTTAAATGTAATGTTTTTGTAGAATCTGGTTCATCAGAGTTTTAATTTATATACATATATATATATTTATATCTATAAATAAATATAAATATATATGTATATATAAAAATACATATATATATATGTAATTTATATACATATATATATTTATATCTATAAATAAATATAGATAAATATATATGTATATATATAAATACATATATATATGTATATAAATATATGTATATAAATATATATGAATATATATAAATACATATATATGTATATAAATACATATGTGTGTATGTATATACATATATATATATACATAATTGTGTGTATATACATATGTGATATATATATATATATATCACTGTAGATGAACAGATGCTGGGATATATTCATCATTTAACACGGGTTCCTCATTTTTCTGGACTGAATAAAACGTGCATTGAATTTAAGTAAATGCAAACGTGAGACGTCATTTATATTTGACCCATCAAAATGAATGCGGTCATTTATTTACAGAATCAAATTTAACATCAAACATTTACATTAATTTGGCAAATTATGAAAATAACAATATGAGCAGTCAATCAGGAAAAATCATACGGCCATGATTTTTCCGTTGCTGCACCACAGACATTTATAAAACTGTACAACTATGATCTTTTACCCACACGGATGTGAATAAGCACTTTACACAGACATTTCTAAATATCTGTAAGAATTTCTACTTGATAGAAGAGTTTAGAGATGAAAGAAGTTAAAGGGAGTAAGATGTTATGGGAGGGGAAGAATGTTCACCAGAATCGACACTCTCCATCAGAAGCCCAGCTCTCCTTCGGTACGCTTGGTAGGAAACTTGATCCATTACCTTTCTGAAGATTCATCAGCAGATATGGAGTTCCGTTAACGCTACCTGTCCAGCGTCTCCTGATGATGGCTGTAGCTCGTCAGAAGTAGTGGCTAGTGAAAGTTATAATCCCATGGAACTCGGAAGAGCTTTTTGTCATGTCAGAATCATCCCGTCTCTAACAGAACTCGAGCAGAACCAGCAGAAAACTCTCCAGCAGAAAACTCCCACCGAACTCTAGCAACTTTAGAACTCCAGAACTCCAGAACTCTCGAACTCTCAAGAAGTCTGAGTAGACCAGGAAGTACTGACATTTTAAAGACTCTTTCCCGGTTCACTTTTTGGGATTTGTTCATTGGTCAGAAACGACCAGACGGGGTGTGTTTTGTGACGTAAGAGGTTAGAGACAGCGAGAATTGTTATGAGACAGATCAGAAATGTTCTCACAGACAGAGAGGGTTTTGTTTTGGCGTGTTTCAGAAACAGGTGCAAAACATCTCTATTTACGTCTGAGAGGATTCTAAAACATGACAGTTTTAACATAACAACTTGTTTTTCGTTTGACTCCAACCTTGGAAACGCACACACTTGCTCATTCAAAAGCAGAAATCAGAAAATGCATAATTACTCTGTAACAGCTTTTAACATGAGTTCTAACTTTGCATGAGAATAAAAATCATTACTCAGTTAATAAAATTGATTAGTTCACTGCAACATCTAAAATGGTTTGAACTAAGACACTTTGATTATCAACATTTGTAAAATAGTAATGATAATAAAAAGAGAGTGTTCTTTTCACTTGAATCTTCAAGAAAGAAAGTCTCAGGATGGGTGAACCTGTATTTATGGATTCAAATAAATGAAATGACAGCTTCTGTCCCACAAGGTTCTTAAGGTCAAGAATTTTGACCTTAGACTTAGTTTTTGACATGGCCTAGTCCACTACAGTCCCCCCTTTGGAAATCATCGCCTGTCCA